CAGGATACGCCTGCATCACCGCATGGATGTGACCACAGCCCTCGGTGCGGCCCCGGGCACTGCCACCGGCTGTCACCCAGCTGCGGGCACATCCAGCGCGGGACAGAGCCCGCGGCCACAAAGCACGGCACTCCGGGATTCCCGGGATTCCCGGGATTCCCAGCCCGCTCCCCCCGCGCCCAGCCCGCACTGACTTCATGTTCTCCACGGAGCGTCCCCGGAAGGCGGCGAAGGGCGACAGCACGGTGGCCGTGGCCACGATCCAGCAGTGGAACAAAGCCATCTTGCAGAGGTACTGGCAGGCGGGGCTGTGCCGGTAGAGCAGCAGCGCTGCCGGGAGCAGCAGGAGCAGCCCCTGCAGCAGCAGCAGCAGCAGCCCCGGGAGCAGCAGCGCATCCATGGTGGCACCGGCCCGGAGCTGTGCCCGCGTCCCGGGACGGGAGCCCGGCGAGTGACCGCGGCTGCCGGGAGCGTGGAGGGTGAATCGGGAGGAACCCGTGTGGGCGGCTGGGGCTGGGCCGGGGGAAGGCTCGCTGTGGATGGAGCGGCTCAGGTGGGGGCAGGACACCCCTCCAAGGGTGGAGAGTGGCCGTGAGTCACAGCAGGACCCTGAATCACYCGAGTGTCACCTGGCAAGGCCCTCCCGGGCTGTTAAAAGCCATCGCGGTGACTGCAGAGCGGTAAGATCAGCTCTGCTCGCTGAACTGTCCCTGTCCGGGGGATCTCGGGATGCCAGCCCTGGGAAAGGGACTCTCCGCGGTGGGGACGGCGGAAGCTGCTCCTGGCTCGGTGCCATCACCCCGGCCTGGGTGTCCCAGTCACCCGCTGGCATCCAAAGCTCTCCCCGCGGTGCATCAGATCATCGGAAGGGATCTGCATCCTGGATGCCCGCGGGGATGYGGTGCCGGCGCTCCCGTCCCTGCTCCACCTGGAGCTCCCCGTCCCTGCCCTCTGCCTTCCCCAGACCCCGCRTCTGTCCCCAAGGTCCCCAAGRTGCCGGGGGCTGGGCTGTGTCACCCCCCGCTGCCAGGCCGACCTGCAGGAGGTGCCAGCCCTTGGCCCAGTTGGCAGCCGGGAGCTGTGTTGCATGAGGCGCTCTCAGGGGTGCAATTAGCGCAGGCTGTAATTAACCCCTCCTCCTGCTCCGGAGCCTCGCGCTGGGCACGCGGATCCAGGCCAGCCCCGGGAGACTCCGGCCGTGCCTTTGGGGACCGAGTCCTTGTCCTTGCGGACACCAGGCTGGTGGCACCTTCCAGCCCCGCCGGTGCACGGCCCCGGTCAGGGAATCACGGAATTCCAGCGCTGTTTGGGTGGAAAGGACCTTAAATCCCGAACCGAGTGCCACCCCAGCCATGGCAGGGACACCTCCCACTGTCCCAGGGTGTTCCCAGCCCCAATGTCCAGCCTGGCCTTGGACACTGCCAGGGGTGGGGAAAGGAGGGACATCCCCTTGTCACTGCCCAGAGCCATCGGGTCAGTCCTGAGCCCCGTGAGCCGCTCCTGACTCCCCATAACAGCCTCAGCGGGGTCYCCGGGGGTCTCCCGGTCCCCTCAGGCCCCTCCCGGGAAGGCGACCACTCCCCCGGGGACATCCCGTCCCTCCCCTGCCAGGACCTGTCCCCATCCCGACCCTTCTGTGTCGCTGCCCCCTCCCTGTGCCCAGGGCTGCCCTTCCCGCCCCCGCCTTCCCCTGTCCCTGGCGGTGACAGAGCTGTCCCCAGGCTCCGGCCGCGCTGGAGGGCGCCAGGGCGCCCCAGTTTGACCAGTAGCCGCGGGGTTACGTCCACCGGGGCTGTTGCAACGCCCGTTGCTTCACCCTGCCATTGCTCTCATTATTCGCACATTAAAGCCGAGATTGGGTCACATCTGGAGCCCACCCTTCCTGCCCATCCCATCCCATTCCAGGTGACTCCTCGCCTCCTTCTTCCCGTTCTGTGTCCGTGTGGGAGCCTTTGATGGTTTCCCATCAAACCCAGCTCGGATTTTGGGTGTCTCCTGCAGTCCCTCTCGGCTGGGGATGGACCTTTGTGCCCATCCTCCTGCTCCACGTTTGAGATCGTTCTCCTCCCGCTCCTCCAGGAGCCAGGCTGGGGGAGATCCGCCGGTGCCAGAGCTCGGGGACGATCGATCCCGCCTTCCGCGGGGCAGGAGAGGGGCAGGGCAGGCCCCGGAGGGGGTTTCGGGGGGTTTCTGCATCCTCTGAGCTGCACATCGCAGGCGCTGAGGTCTCCTGCTCCAGGGAAAAGCCCGGAGTCACCGCGGGCCGGGCAGGGCTGGCACCCCTGGGTGGCGCTGGGGAGGTGGCACAGGCAGGGGACAGTCCCCAGCAGCCACCCCCTGCCTGCTGCTGCATCCCGGGGGGTGGCGGGGGTGGCGGGGACAGGACCCCGG